TACTGTAATTATTCTTGTTTGTTTGTCCTTTCTTTTTCTTGCATCATCCCATTTTTTTAAAGACAGGAGCTATGCGTTCGCACATACTGGGACATTTGATTTCTCTTCAATTTTAAACATAAGAACTGAGAAATTATCTTGGGATGTGTACACATACTCTTTTCCCCCACGAAGACTGTATTTTTTTAGTATTGATGGTGCTGTGTTCTCTTGCTGATCTATCTCTGTCTTTTTTGGTAGACTGAAAATAAGGGACAGGTAGATCTTAACAGAAGACTCAACACTCTTGAAAAAGCATTGCCCTCCCCCAGTTTCTCCAAACCAAGGGTACACTGGCATTTCTTTTGCACCTCTCCCCAGGGGAAGTGGGGACCTTTTGTTTCATATTTTTCCAGTGGTTGGGGTGTAAAATCTTAAAGCGTTTGTTTTAGCACTTTTAAAACAACCCATCAAAAACAAATCCATTAGCATGCTGCACAGTTTCATATGACTTTGAAGCTACTGGGAGGCAAGTAGCCAAAACCAAGAAAAGAAAGAGGGAAATATGTCAAGTGCTAGCAATTTGTTTTACTACAAGAAGGTCCAGTACATTTCAAACAAGATCCTTTGTCAAGGGCCCTAAGTGCTCTTTTTTTTCCATGGCTCTCGAACTTGCATATTTCTCACCTTGCATATGTAGCAATTTATTTGCTCTTGAATTAATGAGTTAGACTTTAAAATCACAGTAGTGGAAATAATATTTGAAAGTTTTAACATGTAATCACTGTTGCTTACATAGAGTCTGCTTGGGTCAGATGGACGGCTACATAAATTTGTTTATTAAATAAATAATAATTGGAAAAGGGGACACATTTATTTACTTCAACTATTCATATTTGATCATTGTTTTTTTTCTCCCCCACCTCAGCTGATCAAAAATCCGTGGTCAAAACACCAAAGACTGTTCCAGATACTGAAGAAGATGAGGGAGCTCAGTGGAATTGTACAGCTTGTACTTTTTTAAATCACCCAGCCTTAAATCGTTGCGAACAGTGTGAGATGCCCAGGCATTTCTGAGCCAGGGAGGCTCACTTATCTTCTGTAAATCCAACTTCTGACTATTGTGTCATTTCCTTGGGATAAATAATCATTTATGCATAGGATTTTGTAAAATTGAACATGTGACAAGATTTATTAGTAATGTTAAATGTCATGACACAGACATAATACCTCAGTCTTGTGCTGCAGGCAGCTGGAAATTCACCGGCTGGAAGGTGATCTCCTGAAAGAAATTGGTTGCCAGCTGCCTGACATGTACAGTATTACCAGATGCCCATAAGAATAACTCCCACCAGGTTCAGTGCTTTGGTGTTCCCAACAGCCTTTCTCCACAGATGTCACTACTGAATTTTGACAGGGGAAAGAATTAGATTGATAGCTTTTTTTGTTTTTGTAAAGCTTTCAGTAAAACACTACATTCACAGAGGAAATGAAAAAGGAACAAACTGAAACTCAATTTGCTGCCACAGAGGGCCCAGGAATTATAGAAGAACTTCAGAAATGTAGAGGTACTCTTCATCTTGTCTTCCGGAAAGCAGTTCCACATTGTGAAGACAAAAATCAGTACAATCATCTGAAGATGAAAAAAGAAAACTGCATGCTTTGTCTGTACCATAGTCACCGTGAAATACCCCCAAGGCTTTTCCTACTGTACATAGTTCTAGAATCTTCTTTAAATGACTTTTCTTCACCTTTTATTATTTCTTGTATTTCTTAATGTATAGTGTAATAGTCTTTGTTAACTTTCTTTCCCCCTTTAAGTGATTATGCACGATTGTGATCCCTTTGTGTTAAAAAAAAGTTTTTGATCTGAGAGAAGCCGTGCCTTAAAACAGCGTTCGTGACAATGCACAAACTAGCTCTTGTCTGCCTCTTTTGTATGTTGCTCTTGTAAATGCTGGTAATCTGTGAAGACCTGCAGATGCAGCATGGTAAAAATGCAGGAAACGTTTGTGCTTCTAGTTCACTCAGGACACTGATTTTTACGGTGGGTGACACCTGGGTAGTATTCTGCCTGGCAAACAAAAGCACAAGAGAAATTGAGTCCCACCCCCATCATATCTGCCTCTGATAGGCTTGCTTCATTTGCTGGGCATCTTTAAAACTCTCCACGAATAAAAAAGACTGTGAGGGGAGAGGAATATATTTGAGTACACAGAAATAGCAGAAAATATTAATATGCTCATTGTTGGCAGCCAGTTCTTAAACCTGATTTGGTGGAGAATAGCAATAATTAGAATCATTTGAAAGAGAGCCTGGAAAAGAGAAAACAAGGAGACTTGAAGCCATGCCAAGCATCTCTTTTTTTATGTCCTTGTTCCTGAGGAAATCTATTGAGGTGGTTAGAAAAACTTTTAATTGAAACCAAGATCATGGTGTTTTTTGGGTTTTTTGCTCTCCTGCATACTACTACATAAATGATATGTCATCTCGGGATGAGGTGAGAAGAAGCAATGAATAGCAAAACTGTATTATGTATCTGCTCAGAATTAAGTGCCATTAAGTTCAGTGAGACTTACTCCAAGGTAAGTGGATCTACTATTGCAGCCTAAATGTAGCGAGAGACAAAGTAGACTGTCACCCACTGTAAATATTTGCCAGTGGACATCTTTAACAGCAATTTTACAAGTGGTCTATGAAAATATACAGATGCCTTTGTTTTAAAGGCTTTGCATTTTTTTAAAACATGGGAATTAAATTAGTATCCCAAGTAATCAGTCAGTAAATCCAAAGTCCTTGAATTGAATGCATTATGTTATTAAAAAATAGAAGAAGCTTTCTTTTTCAGCTTCATCTGCAGTTCTATGTGAAGATTGATAAATGAATTTTTACCTGTTTTATTAATAAAACATAATTTGGATATCTTGAGTTGATGGTTTTGTGATTTAGGTGGGTTAACTGTCTTTGTAACAGATAAGTTATTTATAAAAATTAAAAAAATATATTGTAACATCTGTTTTGTGTCTTTTTAACTAGAAGTAATATGTTTTGTGTAGATATTCCTTAAATAATTCGTCAGTGCTAGGATACATGATGATTCCGATTTCAAATTCAGACCCTGAAGGCTCTTTTTTTAGGTCTAACATCAATAGCATAATTGCAAAACTAACCCTTGTTCAAATGTTACCACAGGTACTTTTTAAGAAAATAATCTGCTTGGTATCTGATATTTGCATTCTGACACAATCCTTAATGCTTATTTTTATCTGTTATATATTAATATAGGTAATTCTCAACTTACAACCATTCATTTAATAATGATTCAAAGTTGTTGAATCGTCGGAAAAAACTGTTTACAACCTGTCCTCGCACTTATGATCATCATACCACATGATTCTGTGGTCACATGATTCAACCTCTTGGCAACCGGCTCACTTGCAACTAGTTGCAGTATCTTGCAGTTACATAATCATAATTTGTTACCTTCTCGACCAGTTTCTGACAAGCAAAGTCAATTGGGGAAACTGGATTTTCTTAAAAGACTGCATGGTTTGCTTGTCAACCATGTGATTCGCTTAACAACTGCAATTAAAAAATGGTCATCAACCCACTTTACAACTGCACCAATTTATAATGGAAATTCTGGTTCCAGTTTTGGTAAGCCAAGGATTACTTGTATGGAAGTTATAAATGAATCACTTCCTTTGGTTAGTAAATCCTTATAAGAATCAGCACTATAAGAATTAAGGACAAATGTAAAGAATTACAGAATGAAATTTCAAAACGAGCACTTTTATCATAGGGAATATAAGAGCACATGGACTTAGCCAATAATACTTTGCATGTTTTTATTTATGGAGTAGGTGTCACTTTCCAATTGTAGGTAAGTTTCTATTAATCATAATAGCAGTCAGGCTCCATTAAGTCATAAGCTGAGAACTACCTGTAAGATACGGGATCTAGAACTTGGGTGTATGCTACTACACCTTTTTCTAACGGCAGGGGAAGAAATATGGCATGAAAAGAAAGGATCTACCGTAGTATTTTCCTCTTAGATGTACCTTTCCCCTTGAGTAGCAATCTGTAAACCCCACCACCACCACCAATACATTAGCATTCCCTTATATTCCCTTGGTTTATTTGACAAAAGAGATACACTAGATGTAATTGGGTTGTTTATTTTTATTTAAAAGAGTTGTATTTCACTTTTCTACAAATAGATCCTCATAGCTTCCATATTTATTTTGAATTCAAAAACAATACATCAATATAATTTGTTCGTGCAATTGTCTCACAAGCAGACAGTAAGTAAATTAGGAAGCAGTTGCAAAATAAGCCATTAACATACATTATATTCAATCCATATTAAGGAATATAAAGAAAAATTAATTGGAGCTTTCAAAAACAAAAAATTATCAAGTAAAATACGTTTTGTGGAACAATATAGTATCACCCTTGTTCCTGACTGTTTATATTCACATCAGCACTGTGGACTAATCTTAAAAACAACATAGAAACCTGTGAAAGTTTTTTTAAAGCATTATTGAAATATATCAAAATGGAGGTTTTTGGATAGCAATCCAGGTTATCTCCTTGTACTGGATCAGTTGCAGTTTCTGAAAATAACATATTCAAGGATGGCCCAGTAAATAATAAACTAAATCTGAGGGAAGGAGTATTTGTTCAGAAGGTGTTACAATTAATGCACCAACCAAGGAGGCGAACACAGAGACTTGAACATATAAATGCCACCTGAAGGCTTATTTTTTTCTGTTGGTGCTATTAAGGAAAAAAGGTATAAATCAGTGGTGAAATGTAAAATTTGTTATTACCGGTTCTGTGGGCGTGGCTTGGTGGGGGGGTGTAATGTGATGGGCGTGGCCAACTTTTTTTTTTTACTTTTAAAAGCATTTTTTCTACAACCTTAAGAGGTTGCAGCAAAAAATGCTTTTAGAAGCCTCTGATGATCAGGCAACTCAGCTGGGATCGCCAGAGGCTTTTAAAGGCATTTTTTTTCCCTACAACCTCTTTGGCCAAAGAGGTTGCAGAAAAAAAATGCTTTTAAAAGCCTCTGACGAGCTGAGCTGCGCGATCATCAGAGGCTTTTTTTTTTAACTTTAACTCGGCCTAAGAGGTTGTAGAAAAAATGCTTTTAAAAGTAAAAAAAAAAAGCCTCTGATGATCGCGCGGCTCAGCTTGGCAGGTATTTTTGCTGCCAGTTCTCCGAACCACCCGCCGCCATCGCTACCGGATCAAGCGATCCGGTCCGAACCGGGAGCATTTCACCCCTGGTATAAATGTATGCAGTCATAAGCCCAATACTGTACTTGGAGTCCAATTAGTCAGAATGACTGAAAATATATTCCTTGGTGATTGGGAAAACACTGTTGTCATTTCTGCCTTTGCCTTTCTGCTGCAAGACTAGCATGTCAGACAGGGTCGGATTTTCCTATAGGCTAACTAGGCTTCAGCCTAGGGCCTCAAGTTCAAGAGGGGCCTACATTCAAATTGTTAGCAAAATTAAAATTACACTTTCACTATAGGTGAAAGGGCCTCATAAGTGGAATAGCCTAGGGCCTCTTTTCATCTAAATCCGGCCCTGATGTCAGAGCAGCTGGAGGTCCTTTACTGAACTTGGCTGTTCTCTTAAAGACTCAGCAGTGACAGCCCTGGATGGGAGACCACCAGGGAATCTCAGATCTGTTAGAAAAACATCCTAGAAAAAGGCAATTGCAAATAACTCATATTTTTGTTGTATTGTTGCCAAAAAAACTACAAATAGGATAGTCCAGTAAATAACAAACTAAACTTACTGTACATGGTCATATTTATGTAGTCACCAAGAGTTTACTCTGACTTGAGCATAGAATACTTTTGTTAAACATAAACCTTACCAAACAGATTGAAAAAAAGCCCTTGCTCATGGTTTGATAAAAGAATAAGAAATTGTTGGGGAATAGAATAGAAACATATATGAATCTGAAGCCATCTAAGAGGATGTTTGTGGGAAGTGCATGTAGGAAGGATCCAAATATAAATTGGCTTAACAGATTGAAAATTAGGCTGTTTCTCAGGATGGTAACACAGGACATAAATGTTTGAAACCAGAAAAACAAATTTTGTGTGCACTTGTGTATATATCTATATATCTGTTTCTGTTCTTACCAGTTGATTTGCTGAAGTTGAATGTACCTTGTGTAAAGAAGACATGAGAAAACCTTCACCATGGTTTCCTATTAGGGAACCTACTATGCAGATTCTCCTGCTTCCTAGCTAATGGTATAAAATTTCTCACTATGTCTGTGTTGGAGGAAATTAAGGCTTGGTTTTCCTGAAAATATGGGAACATAAGCCTTAGGGGTTGCTGGCCATTTGCTTGCTCTTGAGAAAATGGAGTTTGAGCAACATTCTGCTGAGACTCCACACCAGAAGGACAATTGTGTCTTCTGAGTGAGTTGGAATTTAACAAAAATAATTGGTCATAAGGTCTGGTTTGCAAATGTCCAATGTGACCCATCTCCCCATACTTGCTATATGAAAATACCTCAGCAGAAGAATCTATAGAATCCTGTTCTTCATTGGACTGGGCCTTTGAAATCTGCCTTGCTAAAAAGGAAGGTGTTTGTAAGTTCTGTATTGCTGATGCCTGTTTCCTACAACACCCCTGAAAGTTACACATTTCTAAACATGGACAGTCCAAGCACCGGTTGTGATGAGACAAAAGTGGACCTTGGCTGTACCTGAGATAATGGCCACCTACTAGAGGTTCATATTTTACAGATCCTCCAAGTGTATTTCCAGAATATGTCCTGGCAGTTAGAGAAGATGCAGTGAATTGTTCGGATACAGCTGCTGCATATCCAGTTTGATCATGTTGTAATAAAGTTAATGGAACCTGGTAGTTGTCCTGATACATGTTTGTCCAGTTGTTAGCTGAATCCATCTGGTACTCTCCTATCTGTTGTGGGACACTAGCGTGAACTACTTCTGAGCTGAGTGCTGTGCTACTTCTGTTAATAGCACTTCTGGGACTATATAGAGATGATGGTTGTCCACTCTTATTCTTTGTGGGGTTTGTTCCCTTCTTCTCTTCTTCAGTCTTTTGACTGGATGTGTAGGTTTTAGCTTTGACCCGGAGTTCATCAGCTACAGAGAGATGGTCCCAGTTCAGTCTTTCTGGGTGGTAAAATTTGCACTTGATGCCATATGTACACTTTTTGCCTGTGGAAAGTAAAATGACTAGATAATTGGCTGGTATCTGTGGGCATGGAAGCAGATTGGAGCATCTTGTATTTTTTAATTTTGTAAAAATAATATTTCCGCATACAGATATTCTGTTTCCCCCAAAATAAGACATCCCCTGATAATAAGCCCAATCGGGCTTTTGAGCGCATGGCAATAAGGCCAAGCGCTTATTTCAGGGTTCAAAAAAATTATAAGGCAGGGTCTTATTTTCGGGGAAACATGGTACCTCTGGAACCTCAGAATCAGATCCAACCTATATTGTACAGGTAGTATTGTACCATGGGGATGCTGCAATGCTCGTAAGTGTGAAAAATGGTAGTCCTCGACTTACAATCATTTGTTTAATGATCATTTTCATTTACAGCAGCACTGGAAAAAACTGACCCTCTCACAACCATCATAGCATTTCTGTAGTCACCTGATAAAAATTCAGGTGCTTGACAACTGGCTTGTAGTTACAACAGCGGCAGAATCCTGGGATCACCTGATCACCACCTGTGACCTTTCCAGCCATCGTCCAGTAAGCAAAATCAATGGGGAAAGATGGATTTATGTAAAAATTCAGTGATTTGCTTAACAACTGTGGCCCAAAAGCCATAAAATTGGGTGCAACTCACTTAACAACTGCCTTGTTTAACAATGGAAATTCTGGCCCCAATTGTGGTCATATGTCAAGGATTACTTGTACTTTGAATTTATATAAATACAGAATTATGTTGAGAAAAAGTTCATATTTTCTTCCCCAAACTGTACAGAGTTTTCATACAGTTTTTGAATGTCTGGAGAATATAATTTTGCCACTGAAGAAGCAAAACACGCCGGCTATTATTGTTAATGTAGTAATAGCAAGCTTCTCTTATATAAGATTATAATTGATGATAGATGAAAGAATGTGGCATACAGAGTGGGGCAGGGAGATATATATGATATAATAAATGATATTATTAGATATAAATGAAACCAGGGATAATTTAAGATTTTTCTTGAGAGGTTCACTTTGAGACTTCATGGGCATTTCTAGAGGGGCACATAAAGTGAAAAATGTGTTTTGTTTCATGCAGAAAACATATTGTTTAGCCAAACCATTCTGGGAGGGTTATGGTTTGGTCTGGCCAAACTGAAACCTGAAACTGGTTCGGGTTTTTCTGTGTCAATAATGTCAGATAAGCTGGGTGCTTGCTCTTTTGAAAGATGTAAATATCTGAAAATGCAAATAATGTGCAAATTATCATGAACTATTGTGGAGGAAAGCCAGTATTTTAGTCTTGTTCTTTTTGTAACCGGTTTAATTGTAAATCTTGCAAACTAACGGATTGAGCATTGAACAAAACTTACCATAAGGACAGAGCTGCCATTTTGATTCAGAGAAAATAGGTTTCTTGCTAAGAAAATTGTCCAGAGAAGGTCCATGTCGGCCCAAAGGATCATCAGGTGGCATGAATCTAAAGATAAATAATAACAGAAATTACTGAATCAACATTGTCATGATTTTCTTAGATGTGCTGCAGTTCACAACATACTTTAAATATTCAAACCAATGTACTCATAGAAAAAATACCTGCAAATATACATGTGAACTCTCAAACAAGTTTTGGATATTTATGTATTTCTAAAGCCATCATAAATTAGAATGTTGCAAATAGCAAATCTGCAGGGGGCAAATCCTTTGAAGCTATGGATATAGATTGTATATTAAACCTAGTTAGTGACCACTCCATAAGAATAAATGTCAGCTAATATCTGCCTAGTTTGCTGGTTGCCCATTTTTTGCATTTCTATCTCAGCAGGCAAGTTAAAAAGGTTTAAGATAACACCTCTGAAAACCAGTACAGTACTGATAACATATTATAATACACTGATTAAAGTATTGTTTAGCATTGGGGAAACTCAGTTCAAACTTCTATTCAATCTTTGAGCTCCCGGCGTGATTTTAGGTGAGAAGGTCACTTTTCTTAGCCTAATTCACTCTATAAGGCTGCTATGTGGGTAAAAATGAGGACAACACATGTACAGCAGAAAAAATAGGTCCCAGCTGTGTGGAAAAGGGAACAAAATTTTTAAATAAATGTTTATTATAACCACAGTCGCTATCAATTTTGCAAATTATATCTATATTGATTCAGGGTAGCAAAGAAAAGTCCAAAACTTTCTTGTTTCCTCTTATTCATGCCCTGAGTTGGAGCCAGCAAAAACTTCAACAGCCAGAAAAGTGTCTTCTATTTGCAGAATGTTTTTGACTCAGTGGGGCCTTTTGTTTGACTCAATAGAATTAGCAACCTTCATCAACCTTCACCACCAGCCCCTTGTTGTCCCTAGGGCCATGGAAAACCAGATGAGGACAGCAAAGGTTAGACAGGACATTGGCAAAAACAATTCCTTCCGTCAGGAGGATCAATTTGGGCGGAATTCTGTCATACTCCTGGTCTGCTATCATTTGATGGTTTATGAACACGCACGAGCTCAGGCATGTCCAACCTGCAGCCTGCAGCTACCTGCAGCCTTGGACAGCTAGTAATGTATCCCCATAAGATTGCAATTAAAAATATTTAAAATATATATTTTGTTATTTATATACATTGACTATATTATATATTTTATACACAGCCCAAGACAATTCCTCTGCTCAACGTAGCCTGGTCAAGCCAAAAGGTTGGTCATGTCTGTGCTAGCTGATCTCAAACAGTGGGCCATTGATTTAGAGTTGCAAGCAGACTTTCCAGTTCTATCCAGAAATACCCTTCTTGAGCCAATCTTTACATCTTCTGCAATCAGCTAGATATCTTAGCTACATAATAATCACAGAATTCAGAAGAGGTTTAACAATTTAGTTAAATTCAATGCCCTCCCAAAATTCATTATTTAAGGAAGATCTGAAGGATACCCCTTTAAACAGAAACTGTCCATGGAGTGGAAGAATAATTGAAATGATGGAACACAATATTATGTATTGCCCTCTCTATGTAAGTGCTTGAAAGGAATTATTTCCATAACTAAATATCCAAGTTGTTCTGATTTGTTTTATCTTGTTATTTTTAAATCAATCTGATTTTATTTCCTTGACCATATCCACGTACTGTTTTACAGTTTGTACAGCACGCCATAATATTTACTCTTAATACTTTTTAGATATTTTACAGCAATTATATTTTTTCTTTTTTGTTCTAATTAATCATGATTTTGTTCTTCATCTGCTGGTCTGTGACCGAAAAAAGATGGATTGATTGATCGATCGATTGTCATGCTCCTGCTTGTGAATTTTAAACTTTAGATCTCGCTCCTTGAAATCTGCACTTTTTAACATTAGAATTCAGCTAGATCTTGATGAAATCTTGTTTGCACATATTACCAGACTCTTACTTGTCATTGACGAAAGAATACATGAGCAGTCGCTGCTCAATGAACCATTTCCACTCAGGGTTTTCATTCTGCAGATCTCGAAAGTTGTCGTTGGAAACAATGACCCCGTCTTGCTCATAGGCCAATTTAACAATGTAGCGATCATCATAGCACATCATTCTTTTGCCCTTTATTTTGCGGGATGGTGTGTAGATGAGAATTGCTTGCTTGGCCAAGCTTTCAAGGATATGCGGATCTAAAAATAAAAATGGGACAGGAAAATGAACAAATACTACCACACACACACATACAGAGAAGAGTTGCATGCAGACGTGGAAGATGGGTTTCAAAATATCAGCATTGCACAAGGAAACAAAAACAGCTTGTAATGTTTTCATTCAGAATACAGAATAATAGAGTTGGGAGGGGACCTTGTAGGTCTTCTTGTCCAACCACCTGCTGATTGGTCAAGTTCATGTATTTATAAAACACCATGTCGGTGCCCATTTAATTTGGAATAAAACCAAATGCTTCCCATTTAATTAGAATATGAAGTGAAATGTAAATTGTTTGGTACATAGTGGTCTCCCAAATGTTCCTGAATATAAATTCTAGCTAACCTGGCCAATGTTGAGAGATGCTAGAAGTTCAGCAACACTTGATGGGTCACACATTCTTGTTTAAACATTGCTTGTTTATTATGTTTATTTTATAAACTGACTCAATAAGCTACAGTATCTGTTAAGTACTCAAAGTTGGCTTGGAATCTAGGATAACTCAACAACTGATTCTCACATCTGGGAGCTGAGCAGCCTAGAAATTTTACAAATTAAGTTGTCATTGAGTACGGAAGTGCAGATACAGCTGAAGGTCATGAATATGGATATTAAAAGGTAACTTGTCCACCAACAAGCACTTTAGTGAGGTAATAAGTGAAATACTGCCCAACAGAACAATCTCTTGAGAAAATAATGTAAAGTTCTACTATAAACAGACAAATACTAGTAGAGCTTACAATGAGAAACATTGTACTACACGTCCTCTGCAATGTAATATTTATAGAATATTCTAGATACATTGCCTGATACAGGTAGTCCTCGACTTACAACCACAATTGTGTCCAAAATTTCTATTGCTAAGCAAGATAATTGTTAAATGAACTGTGCCCCATTTTACAACCTTTTCTGCCACAATTGTTAGATGAATCCCTGCAGTTGTTAAGTTAGTCACATGGTTGTTAAGTGAATCTGGCTTCCTCACTGACTTTGCTTGTCAGAAGGTTGTAAAATGTGATCACATGACCCGGGACACTGCAACCTTCATAAATATGAGTCAGTTGCCAAGTATCTGAATTTTGATCATGTGACCATAGGGAAGCTGCAACGGTCATAAGTTTGAAAAATGATCACAAGTCATTTTTTCAGTGCTGTTGTAACTTTGATCATTAAATGAACTGTTGTAGGTCAAGAACTACCTGTACTTTGAAGTCCACTATTATGTTACGCTTCAAAATAAAATGTATCTGATAAGTAAGAGTTGTTAAATGTGTTTCTAACTTATGAGCGTAAGTTGTGAGCTAATCGATTGACGTCAGAGTCTCTGAGAGTCTGAATTCTAGATATTACTGCTATTGGTGCAAAGGAAAAAGCATACTCTTGCTAGTTTTTTCAAGTTACGATTATTTGTAAAAAATAAATAAATAACCAAGCTAGCTGTTTCTTGGACAAAAATAATAAGAATTTAAAGGTTGTTTAAATATTTGAAAACCAGTAGCTATAGCAAAGCTGATTAGGAGTGGTTCTAATAGTTTTTTCTGCCTTATGCTCTTGTACTTCCATAGAAGCAGTGTTCTGATAAATATTTAATCTCATTGATTGCAGTATGAATCATTTAATGTTTAACTGGGAACTAATGTTTCCTATTGAAAATCTGTTGGATCTGTTCATACCTGTGACAGGGGTATCAAATCGAGACTGTTCCTTTCTCCAAGATGGAACAAAAACTTTGATGTACTGGTGACCTCTTTGCTTGAACCAATCTACCACCAGCTGAATTCCTAAGCATGAAAACACTTCTTTGTTTCCATGACTGGAAAAAAATGAAAAGCGATTATTTTTGAATGTTAGCAAGTTACAGTACTTTATAATGGCTTCTGCCGTATATCATATGCTGGATTTAATGAGTTCTTGTGCCTGGCAGCTAAAATTTCTAGCAACTGGGAATGGCTTTTTTCTGTTAAAAAATGGATTTATAGAATTTCATTCGATACTGAAAACCATTTCCTAGCTCAAAATGTATCTAAAAGTATTTCTTTTTCTCACTGTTGGTAATGTCAATATTGATTTGATGGAGGGACCATCAGTTCCCGAAAAGGCAAAATATATCTGATATACACTGCTCAAAAAAATAAAGGGAACACAAGCAGAAGACATCCGAGATCTGAAAGAATGAAATAGCCTTATTAAATACTTTGTTCGTTACATACAGTAATTTTGTGTTCCCTTTAGTTGTTTGAGCAGTGTATAAACTACTGTATGTAAAGAAGAAAGTATCTAATAAGGCTATTTCATTCATTCAGATCTCGGATGTCTTCTGCTTGTTTTCCCTTTATTTTTTTGAGCAGTATATTATATATCAGATATAATACATCTATATAATATAATATATCTGATTGCTCTAACACCAATGACATTTTATAGATCTATCTTTTCAAAATTAAAGTAAAGGGAGAAGGCTGTTATCTTTGTCTATCTCCCACATCTTTTTGTTATGAAGCTTTTGGGAAGAAAGATCCAAAGTTAGCTATGATTTCACATTCTACTGACCTAGAAATCTATCTGGATGCAGGGCCAGTAGAAAGATAGAAAATATATTGATCTAGCAATGGAATGATAGATGTCTAATAAGATGTCTAATATTCAGGATTGGATCTGATTTGAATAATCTCAAAAAAGTTCTTAGATGCCTGGCACCCAACTCTACAAAAAGAGTTGGGTGTTTTAACCACCTTATTAAAAAGGTGATACATCTGAGTGGTTTGACTTTTGCCTGAAATCAAACTGTTGGCAGTAACATTTCTTTCAACCCGAACATGTTTACTTGAAATGTAACAGGGAATAAAACAGAACCGAATAACAGAGTTGGAAGGGATCTTGAAGGTCTTCTAGTCCAACCCCCTGACCAAGCAGGAACCCCACTATATCATTTCAAGCAAATGGTTGTCCAATCTCTTCTTAAAAACTTACAGTGTTGGAGCAAGTTGTTCACTGATTAATTGTTCTAACTGTCAGGACATTTCTCCTTAGTTCTAGGTTGCTTCTCTCTTCTCTCCTTGAATACATAAGGTAGTTGTGTATTCTGCATGAAGTAGAGTTTCTACCCAGTTTTTAATTATCTAGACTCTATCAGATACATGACTATTTAAAAATGCTGGATTTTGAATGCTATGCTATGGCAACACCTAGAATCCTATAAGAGCAGAATCTTGTATAATTGACTTAAATTATACTTAAATTAGTTGCATATAATTAATGGGACTTCTCCCATATTCATTGATTCCTTTCTTTTTAAAATAAAACATGATACAATGGGAATTTGTCTGTTGGGCACAGTAGAGGGAACCAGAAAGAAATAGAGTACAATCTAGACATAAAATAAATAACACAAATAAATAAATGGAGAGGAACACTTCAATATTAATTAATAACACAAAACGGAACAAAATACCCTAACAATGGACAAAATGAAGGTTGTTTTTGAACAGTGGATCCAGAAGTTAATTTTAGAAATGACTGCCATTATAGATTTAAAATTACACTTAAATTAATTGCCTATGATTAATAGGATCTCTTCTTGTGTATTTATTTATTCCATTCTTTTTTAGAATTCTCAGTTTGGGAACAGCTTTTTCACTGAAGCAATTTGTATGCCATCTACTCCCTGGACTCCAGATGGCTTCATACAAAATAAACAAAAATTTTGAGTGAAACACAGAACATATAACAAAAAGGAAGAAGCAGGGTTTTTTTTTCTTGTAGTTTTTCTTGTCTTCATGGAATCTAACCAAGTAGGCAATAATTTTAGCAGTATCCCACAATTACATAGTAAATCTACTTAATTTCTTCTATGTTGTAAAAGTATCTATTCAAAAATCCTAGAGTAAGCTAATTACTCTACGTTGAATATTCTGAATATTAGTTACTGCTTCTATTATATCTTATAGAGTAAAATTCACTTCAAGTCAAGTTGTATTACTGATAGTTTCAAGGACATTTTAGTGTGGTTTTCTTGGCAAAAATACGAAAGTCATTTGCCACTGGCTTCTGAGGTGTTTTTAGGGCTAGGGCTTCCAAACAGAAACTAAATTGAACCCTGTTTAGGTGCTGCCACCTAGCTGAGCATCATGTTATACATATTTTTTCCCCAATTGTGCAGCAATTTCCTGTGGTTTACCTAATCTAGAAAAAAGTTCTTTTCTGCAGCCTAGCTGGCACTCCAGTTCCTATGGCATGGACCAAGGGGAGATCCACATAGATTTGTGATGGATGAAATCCATTGTCAGGTTATCAGAAGCTGTTGGTACCCTACTTGGATTTAATTGTACTGAGACTTTATGGTGATTTTGGTATGCAAAGTAACTAGAAGTCTGCTATTTGCTTAGGGAGACATGCTCCCTAGGACAATTTGCCAATATAGAGCAGTACAGTCATTATTTGAGTAGTAAGATAACCATAACTGGCTAGAGAAGGCTGGTATCGAGCAAAGTGGTTTTTCATTTCCTTTAGTTTTACCAATGGGGTTTTTGCACATTGGCTAAGCAAATTCACAGAGCTTTTTGATTCCTAAACATAAGAGCTTATTTATATTAGCATTGTTGTAATTGCCCTGTTAGATACATTCTGTTTGATATTAGAGTCCCTCATATCCCCTCCGGGGGTTGCTTGTTCTGGGTTATGCTTGTTCAGACAAATTGTAAAATCCTTGTTGACACAGATTTCACACACAGGTTACTGCATTTTCCTGAGAAACTGTGGACTCCACTCTGAAGGGAGAGCAACTTATTTGTATGGTCACTTATGCTGGTTAAAGAGGTGAGTCAGGAGTCATTTACTCCAACTTTTAGCAATGTCTTGATTAGGTGAACAGCATTACTTATTCTGAGGCCATTAGATGTGTTGGACTATCACTCACATCATTCTCAGCAGATGGGATCTTGCCGGTGGGAGATTATGAGACTCATAGTCCAGCAGGTGCCAGTTTGTTATTACTATGAGTATTTCCATTTGTAAAAGCTGCGTAATTGCAAAACAACTCAAGGCAATGTACAAAAATTTAAAAAACCCATCATAAAAGCAAACAGATAAATTAAAGGCCGATAATGTTATAAACAAAAAAGTTAATCCAACAGTATTGTTAATTTTACGTTGTGTGGGTTTCAACTCCAGCATAGCTGGCTGGGAAATTCAGGGAGTTGGAGAGCCACGGATCTTAAAGTTGCCAAGTTTGCTCAAAGGTATATCAAAGGCACACAAAACTGTCATGCAAATCTGAGAAAGGAGCCGGGCATGCTGCCTACACAATCCAGGAACTAATATATAAGATAGATTGTAGTTTCACCTTAGAAGAGTCCAGCCTTGTGAAACTCTTCCTTCAATGTACCATGGTAAGAAAATTTAACAAAAATTGATAGTGCCAGAGCTTGCAGTTCAGTAAAGCTGGAGGGCACCTGATTCTGAAATCAGTGGAGTGATGTGTACATGCATACATCTATTATTTTTTGTTCTTTCTCCACCCCCACCCTCAATTATATTTAAATGTAAGGTCACAGACTCTGCAGTCTCTTTCCTGTGCCACTCACCACACTCTGGCTTTTTGTCATCAGGAAATCTACAAAAGCAACAGTGAAAGCTGTTGTCATAAAAGGAGTTTTATCTTCTCTTGGATTTTGTAATAAAACAGGCAGCAGCACTTTAATTGGCCTTAGGCGCAGATCTCCCTGAGATAGGATGCCTGTCAGTTTAGGAAATGTGCATAAGTGGATTTTGAGAAGAGAGGTTGTTTACACCGTGGTTATTTAATCTCCTCAGCTACAATTTAGATAAGATCAGTTCACACCACACATGAAATGTCCTTCCTGGGTTCCCTATTTGAATGTAGCACATCTTCATGCAGTCATAGCTCAAATATGTTAGAGAAGAACTTCATGTCATAAAAGTTCAAATGTAACACAATCATAACGTTAATACTATGACTTCCTGAAAAGAGGAGTGGTCACCCCAAGAACCCTCAGTTGCATTCAGCATATTTTAAATCTTGACCTATAATATTCTAGGACCGCAGAGCAAATAGAAGCCCTTGAGACAACAAAATGGAAAGATGCTTGCCTCATTGCAACGTTGCTCCCATCGATTACAATAGGCCTCAAATGATCAGACGCCTCACTTGGTTCCTCAGTAGAGTCCTGGGGAAATGGGAGGGGCCCCGGTACTCCACAAGCAGCAAGATTGGGCTGAAAACATTGTGTTCCACTCTCACTCTTCCGAGGTCTCTTTCCCATGAGAATCAATTCTTGCAGCAAATCATTCTCCGAAGCCTCTTGACCTAATTTCTCCAGCACTTTGCACACCTCCTTCTTGCTATAGCCCAGCTTATGGAAGAATTCAAGCTTGTTCTGTTGGGCTTCCATGTTTGTGCAAAGATAGGAAATCCTGCAGGATTAGTAGTTTCGAAATTGGAGAATCAGATGATGTAGCTGGGAGCAGGGAATATTTGTGCCACTTTTAGTCAGTAATGATCATCCACGGTAGCAAACTGAGAATATGTCCTTTAGAGAGAGAGAGAGAAAAAAAAAAATAACTATTTGGTGACAATGATAAATCAAAGAAGTGCCAATTAGATGATAAACAACTTCAGGATTAAGCAGTTTTTACAATATAAAATGATTAGTTGTTACAGAATCTACATTTTAAGAAAATTATAAAATCGAAGTATTGTTTAGAAAATAATCAATATGTCTCTATTATTTATTTATATCCCACGCTTATTATTTCTTTTATAAATAACTCAAGGTGGCAAACATATCTAACACAACTTCCTCCTCCTATTTTTCTTACAACAACCCTGTGAGGTGGGTTGGGTTGAGAGAGAATGACTGACCCAAAATCACCCAGTTGGCTATTATAGTCCAAAGGAAATAACTACATAATTTTAATAAATATAATAGAAATTTTTTCTATCCTAGAAGTGCATTGTTAGGCAACCCCCAACACTTTCCAATATCTAGGATTTGTACATATAACATTGACAGATGCTCAGAGACAAAAAGCTCTTGGAAGATACCTATTCATATGAATCTCCCTTTTTCAAACTGATGCTCACTGTCAGAATTTGTAACTCACCTGATGAACCTGCAAAAAATAATCCTAAATCATTTGGAAACCCATAAATTGTGAAAGGCTAATGCAGAGTTTTTGCTGTTTAGGATTCTCACATCAATATAATGCTTTGTAAATATTGGATAAAACAAAACAACATTTCTATTTAGATTTCTCTTGAGTTTAAAAAAAAAAGCTAATGAGGATAAAATAGAGTATTTACTTTACCTATCTCAGATAGTGTTAGCCTCTTGACTTACCAGATGTGTGCTGCCTGTCTTGAGATGTTCTGAGCATCAGTCATTCTCTCTTATTAAATATAACCTCTGGGTAACCAAAATCCATCAGAACATCAGGTAATGTGCCTAAGATAGGTGTGCAAGAGTGACGTAGGCCAAATCCTGTGCATGTACATACGCACGCAGATGCTTGACTTCAGCCTTATCTCTGATTAAAACAATGAAAAACAACTTCACCAAGGAGTTGCACTGTGGTTAACAGAGGACAGATACCATCTCTTTTGCTGGTGAAGTAAATAACAAATGGTTAGCAATAAACAAACACTGTCCAGCGTTACTGAAAAAGAAAAGTGTCATTGATAACTTGAGACCCGATTATGAGGTATGTGGGTAACGTTGCTTTGATGGCAAGTTTAAGAACTATTATGTAAAGAGAACCCACAATCCTCTAAAAATTTTGAGCTTCAGCTCATAGAGAGTCCTCGTGAGTAGTTGTTCTCCACATCCTCTTTTTCAAGGCAGAACTGCACTGCACTTCTAAATTTAACTCATTATCATGTCACATACCCTTTGAATTCAGCTAAATCCCTGACACATTTAACAAACATCCCCCCACTCCATATTTTTTTATTCACTTGTGTTACTTTTCTCTTTGTAAAGGGAAAAAAGGCATTCCCCCCCCCTCCCAATTTTCAGGCATAGATGCAGGCCTCACACTCATTAAACAAATTATAAGCAAACTAAAATTATAACTCCCCCCAGAGTTACGTACAATAACAGACCTCCGGATTTTTCGTCGGGCCCTGAAAACCTATTTATTTCAATTAGCTGGGCTGGCTTGAGTTAAATTTTAAATTGCTTTTAAAGTGGTTGTTTTAATTTACGGCCAAAATATTTAATTATTTTAATACTGTTTTTTAAATTTTGTATGCTCTGTTTTTTACTTTGGCTGTTCACCGCCCTGAGTCCTATTTGGAGAAGGGCGGTATAGAAATGGAAACAAACAAACAAATAAATAAATAATGTTTTCAAATAGTTACTTCAACTAACATACATTTTTTAACAAATTCATAGCACTTATGGCTGCAACAATTTTTGTGGAGCCCTTGGAGCTCTGGAGCTTGATTGTATGCTTGGAGATGTTTTGTTACCAGACTAGGTAATTTCTTCAGGGCAGGGGTGAAATGCTCCTGGTTTGGACTGGATCACCCGATCCGGTAGCGATGGCGGCAGGTGGTTCGGAGAACCGGTAGCAAAAATCCCTGCGCCGCCCACCCACCATGCTCAGCTGAGTCGCATGATCATCAGAGGCTTTTTTTTTTTTTACTTTTAAAAGCATTTTTTCTACAACTTCTTCTGACGAAAAAATGCTTTTAAAAGTAAAAAAAAAAGCGGCTCAGCTGGGATCCTCAGAGGCTTTTCAAAGCATTTTAAAAAAAGCCTCTCTGACGATTGCAGCTGAGTTGCCTGATCGCCAGAGGCTTTTCAAAGCATTAGAAAAAATGCTTTGAAAAGTTAAAAAAAAAAAGTTGGCCATGCCCACCCAGTCACATTACACCCCCCCCCACCAAGCCACGCCCACAGAACCGGTAGTAACACATTTTACATTTCACCCCTGCTTCAGGACTAGAAGTGAGTGGGGTTTACTCTCTGTTTGTCCTGTCAGTGTTGATGGGGGTATTATTTTCTCCCTGGTAGTTCCTTGATTAGGGTATCAATTACTGTTTGTTTGCTTGATGTGCAACTGTAGTATTACAGTATAAATATATGTAAATAGGTTATGGCACTCAGGTATAATTTGCTGTCACTAGTATCGAAATATACCAAAAAGTCTCTGGAGAGCGGCGGCATATAAATTTAATAAATAAATAAATTTAATAAATAAATAAATAAATAATTGATTGATTTAGGATTTACTTTAATATGTTGTGTCCTGGAGGATTACAATATAGGGCGAAATTTGGCGTGGGCAATGTTCATTTTCAAAAATTGAAGAAAAAAACCCAATGAATGAGACTGATCTATGTATAACTAGGTCCAGATATACTGTCATAAGGACATCTTATTCTGTGAGCTTTAAAAATTCCATGTAACTCTATGGGCTGCTAACTAGACATCTCGCTTGCAATTTTGGAGGGATCAACCCTTGCCTCTAATTTGCCAAGGAATGAATTTATACTTGATAATTTTATTTCTGAATGTATGATCTACCAAATATTGCAGCACATTTGAAAAAGTGGTCAACTAATACCTTTGAGTTAGTTTTGACTCCTGGCAGCTGCCTGGACTAGTTCCTGCAGTTTTATTGGCAAAGAAATTCAGAAGCGATTTGTTTTTACCTCCTTTCTAGAGCTGTGACTGGCCCAAGGTCAGCCAGCTGGCTTTGTGCCTAAGTGGAACTCTAGAACTCTCAGTCTCACATTTTCTAGCCTGGTGCCTTCACCACTATTCCAAATTGGCTCTGGGGTCAATACTGCAAGTGAGTGATATGATATAGAGGCCAACCCATCACAAACCCTTGCTAAGTGTTTATTTAGTAAAAATAAACTATCTGCCTGCTTCCTTGTTTGAGAAGCATTTTATAAAAATTTGCAACCCTCACCGCAGCCCACTCCATCTCCATCTCCTATTAATTTTCTGCTTTAATTCTCTCTTCTCCTACAATGAACATCTTCCAATCATCACTTCTCCATAGTTGGTCAGATCGAGCAGATGTTTCTCAACCTGCAGCTCTGGCACACAGGAAAGGGGAGGTATGGTTGTTTTCCTTCGGTCTCGGCTGCTTAATGTTATTCCCCTGGAGTCTGTCAACATTTGGTGCCATTATAGTCACGCTCTGAAAGCAGGGAGGGAGGGATTTCCTATGCTTACATTTTTTATTCTTAAAATACTTTGCCTGCAAACTTAATGTTTCCCAGGTCTACTGACCTCCCTCTTGGATTGATTCTAAAGATATATTAAACAATCTGGGCACCAAAAGCTAGCTCTGGATACTCCTTGTTCATACTGAAATATGTGTTTCTGATGTTTTGGTCCAATATGAACCCCCCCCCCCAAATGATTGTTTTAGGCAGAAGTGATTCAGAGAAGGGAAAAAGGGAGACATTAATAGTGACAGTAACAGGAAGAGAAGGAAGGACAAGTATTGGGAATATCACAGATCGTCTGGTCGGTAGGATATGCCATGTTAGGAGTCTATTCCTGTTGAGACCTTTTAGGCTAGTACAGGGGTGTCAAACTCGATTTCATTGAGGGCTGCATCAGGGTTGTGTTTGACCTTGGGGGTGGGTGGGCATGGCCAGGGGTTGTGGCCAGCTCGTCATCACTGTCAGGGGCGCTTGTGGCAGCCAAACGCTCTGCCAGCAAAAACAAGCTCCCAAGCTCCATTTTTGGCTGCTACAGCCTCCTGCAACCCTCTGTCAGTGAAAATGGAGTTCTGTTTTCACTGGCAGAGGGTTGCAGAAGGCCGTGGCAGCTGAAAACGGAGCTCAAGAATCCATTTTCTTTGGCAGAAATACCATGAGCATGTCCTTCGCTGGTTCCAGGGCAGCCCGACCCTGTGGACCAGATCTAAGTACCCTGAAGGCCGGATCTGCCCCCTGGGCCTTGAGTTTGACATCCCTGGGCTAGTACATCAGTGGTGGATGATGGGAGAGGGAGAGGGGGAGGGGAGAGGGGAGAGGAGAGGGGAAGGGCTAGGAAGATTGGGAGAGGGTGGGGTGGTGAGATAGGTTTTACAGGGAGCCATGGAGGGAAGAGAAAGGGCAATGAGCCCTAATTTTGACTTCTAAAATTACTCTAATTTTTTTTCCAGATTCTGTTTCTCACTAAAGTTTTGGGTTATTTTTGCTCAGCCATAAGCTAAAATGGTTGAGAAGTTGGGAACACAGAGGTTTTTATCAGAATCAAGGAAAAAAAATATTTTTTTCCATTGTGTATCCACATATTTAATTTCCTTCAAGGCTGCAGAGATAACTCTTCCCTGGGAGACAGCTCTTCCCTTACTCTCCAAGTAGATGGAATCTATGCCAGTTCCTTGCTTGTACTTGGAGTCCTTTGCAGAGCAGGATACAAGCATACGAGACTACACATTAAGCAAATACTTAAAGATGCTGCTTGGCTCAAATTCGGTCCTGCTTTCTCTCCCCCACCAAGTTCTTTGGCACAACTAAGTTAAAAGAAAATGGTCCGTACTCACAGAAAGCGTAGTGCCTTTGCTTAAGAGACCAGAATGGCTAGGCTGGCTGTGCCTTCACCCCAAGGAGATGCAGAAGGTTACACTGCGTTTGCAATTCTCAAGGAAGTTCAGATATTTTTTTAAGGCATACTGTTAATTGATTTTGACAAAGTGCAATGTGCAGATTGTAACTCATTTCATGGAAACATTTCTACTTCCTTAATGGGCAACTCCTCATTTACTTACTACAATACACATACTTCATCTTAGCAAAACAGGGAGGGATAGCAGGATTACAACACAAAGGTCATTGCCCATGTGAGAAATAGAAATCATAAACAGCAGGGTTTTTAGCTTCATTAGAATATTTGCTAGCACTGACATCTTAATCTTATGGACAAATGTGTTTTGTTCTCTCTCTTGCTTTTTGCTGCATTGTGATGCAGAGATTTATTCAACTCCTTTGTTTCCCCTCTCAACATACAAGCCTTGGTGGAATTGCCATGAGAAACACATAAGGAAATAGGTTGGGTGCTTTTTGCTGCTCGTATTTTACCACAGGGCTCTTAAACCATTTAGCAAAGGTAGAAGATAAAAGCTTTCAGTTGCTGAAGTGATCTGATAGATCAGGCCCGACATGAAGGGTTCCAGCACTGGTTTAAAATGTATATTACTCTAAGAAAACCTGCAAATTTATGATGTTTATTTTGTGTCTTTTAGTATCTCAAAGAAAATTTTCTACCCTGCAAACATGATTAACATGAGAGATCTTAAAGCAATCCAGTTTCAGTCAGATCATGGATAACTAGGGGAGGATTTTGGTGGGATTTAAAATAGAGGTGTAAGCCTCCTTCAGCCAAGGGTTGTTCTTGAACAGGGTAGGGCAGCAATTAGTAGGTCAAAATATATTAGCTTTATAACTTAATGAAATTAATGATGCCTCACTGTACAAAGTCTGCTTTTCCTTTTCTTTCACCCTAACAAAATTACAATTTGCTAGGATCTAGGGGCTATGTGTACCTCTGATTTGCCCACTCTTATTTAGAATCATTGTGATGTTAACACAATTGAATTCTTTCACTGCACTGTTTAATGAACAAATACTCCATAGAAAGTGACATGCATTTGTGATGAATGTTTTAAGGGAGACAATCTAAGACTCATTTACAAATCACTTGCTTTTTTAAAAAAAACATAGTTGCTGATGAGAGGGTCTAGTTAAAAAAACTTAAAGACAGAAAAATTTCTCTGTTACAGATTATAGCTTAACTAGCGTGTTCGTTGATACTGTTTACTTATACCAACAAGAAATTATATCTTCCAGAACAAATCATCTATTTCTTTCTCATTGGCATTTAGGGCTTGCCAAATTTTTCAACTTTTAATTTCCAAACATTAGGGGTGCTCAAAAGTTGTGACATGCCTTGGGGACTGTAAAGATATTTTGGTTACTTTAATATAATTAGATGTGCTTGGTAAGTAACTACATAAATATCATAACTTTTTAACATTTTGTTTCATTTGAATATTATCATTTGCTTTCATAAAATGAATCCAGTTAGAAGGGAAAAAACAAAACCCACCACATACGTATATGGGGACTGATAGCTTTTTATTAAGAATGTACAATTTTACATTACCAAACAAAGCTACATTTTAAAAAACTGAATCTGAATACAAAACCCACAGGATTTGCTACAGCTTCCTAACTGACATAGACTTACTGATATATTTGCTGAAACAGATTAACGTTGCTATATTAGATGGAAGTGAAACTAAAGATTTGCATGGAGATATATTGCAGTTAGTACAAAATGTGGATAGTCGCTCTTTTCTGGCAATTTAGATGTATCAATATTGTACAATGCTACAGTGCAAAGTGAGGCTTCTCATTTTTTCTCTGAAACAGGGATTTGGAGCTACTTCAATGCAATGAATTCTTAGAAGTACCAACTGTATGGGCTAGTACCAATGGTGAACTGTGTATCGTACTAGTATATAGCTCCATATTTTTATATAGAAAACTTCAATACTATCTATTTGTATAAATACAACAGGGAAGCCTCAACTGGCAATAAAAATAGATCTCCCTCATTCATGTAACTGTACAAGCTTCACTCATTAACAGGTTCCTATGAGAAAAAGGGAAGTAAATTCATTCAGTCTTGAATAAAGTCCTCCTGTTCCATTTAGAGTTAAAAGTGATATTCCTTTTCTGGCAGTAACAGCAGCAGACTGCTGTTAGTAATAATGTGAATGCTGCAGGTTCCTTGTTACTGTACTCTAGCATGAATTTCTCTGATCTCTGCAATCTGCAGTTTTCAAAGGCAACAAAAACAACAGAAGAAGAATCCATCTGATGAAGATATCCTCCCACAGAACTCTTATGAGGCAAAATCAGAGGGAGCTTGAAGACCTTCGGGAAGGGAAGGGAAGACATTGGCAGTTTCTAAGGCAGATAAATGCTAAGAAACAGTTGCTTTACAATTTACATCAATTGGCCCTTATTAATATTTGGACTTTTCCTTATCTTTGGACTTTTTGGGATTCCTGCCTGACTTTTTCTCTTCATAATGGTCTCTTTCCCAGGATTCCTCGGAATGCTTCTCTTTAGACTTTTTGTGATGGCTTTCTCTCTCCCGAGAATGGCTCCGGCATCTCTCTCGCTTGTCACTTTTTTTTTTCTCCCTATCGAAGTCTTCTTTGTGCCTTCGGCTAGGCTCCTGAGAGAAGGAGGAGGGAAACACAGTTATTGCATTGACAAAAGAGAAGAGTGGAGAAGAGGAGCAGGTAGAGCACTAAGGTAACAGTTTTCAAAGTCTGCCTTGCTGATTTTCATGCTAGTCCTACAGAACAAATAGCAACGTACCAATTAATTGTAAGTAAATGATGCCTAGCTAGACCTTTAAAGGAAACCTCTGGGAAGAACAAAATAATCTATCCTACATAGATACAAAAATAAATATTTTTTAAAAAATTGTGATTTGAAGCTCATAAAACAATTTTTTTCCAAAATATTAAAATAACGTTTTAAGCTCCTTTATTTTCTCTTACAATTCAGTTTACATAATTTGGGATAATTTCAATTTGTTAAAAAGATAGGAAATATAAATAAAAAATGAGAAATTTCTGTGCTTCATGATTTAAAATACAGCATTAGTCAATATACCTAACTTATGATTGCTGACTTAAAACATAACAATCTGTCTCTATGTTATCAAATTAAGGCAGTGATTGTCAATTCTGGAGCCCATTCCAGATCTCTTTGAGTCCCTCCAGAGAAAATTAACTATGAGGGGCCTTCTGGGTATAGCAGGAGGTGAAGGTGAAAGGCCACTGCATTTATTATGGACTGGAACACTAGAACATCTATAATTCCTGACCGCTCGCCATGCTGACAGGGGTGGCAAAAACTGTAATCCATGATATCTGGAAAGAAAGTTGCTTTCCCCTGCAGATGCTATTGAGATCAGTAAATCTGTAATTACTTAAAAATAATAATTAGATTTGAACCTTGACATGTCATAAAACAATGTTATATGAGCCTCAGTGGTGGAGTGGTTAGAGTGCCAAACTGAAGGCTACTTCTGCTGCCTGCCAGCTGCCTGAAATTTGGCAGTTCAAATCCCACCAGGCTCAAGGTTGACTCAGCCTTCCATCCTTCTGAGGTTGGTAAAATGAGGACCCAGATTGTTGGAGGCAATATACTGACTCTGTAAACCACTTAGAGGGGGCTGTAAAGCCCTATATAAGTCTAAGTGCTATTGCTATATACTCTGGAAACAAACATAATAGCTGTGTGTGGGTTCCTTTTTTCTTGATGCTATTGTATGTTCCCTCCCACCCTATTGTCCTGGAGAAGATGAAGGCACAGAGAAGAAAGAAAGAAGGAAGAAAAGGAACAGAATATCTTCCTGTATGAATGGGATTTATCTATGAAACTTAGAAGGAACCAACTAAGGTAATTTAAGCTGTTATAGAGTGTTATTACACTTTATTTTTCTTGCCCAATATCAGATATTTCATTTTTGTTTACAAACTAGATTCTGTTAGGATAAGAAGAACATGAAGACAAAGATGTGTCTTTGTGTGTATATTTTTATGTTTCCATATTTCACAAGTGATTGAAACTAATGATCATAAAGTAGGAAACATGTCAGAGTTTGTTGCAGCACACACAAGCAGACTATTAAGCAGGGTTCAAATGTCTTTATGTACATAATAACACATAAGGCATACAATACCCTTGTAGGTTTTTCCATGTTGTAGAGAAGAGAAATAGCAAGTACAAACACAGCACAAAATGGAAGCACAAAATGGAGAAGGCAAAATGGAGGAGGGAGGAGCTAGTGCCCTCAAGCAGAACAGTTAAGCCATGACCAGGCTCCTTGCTGTCTGAATCAGCAAACAGGCCCCATTGGTTGACCTTGTTGCTATGTCCTATTTCAGTTCATGAATATACTTTGACAAAACATCCTACACAAAATTGTTAAAACAAGACATAGCACATTTGAAAATATATCCCCCTAAACCTACAAACGTACATAAAGTAAAACAAAAAGTTGCAAAGGCTGTTTATAAAGCAGTTTAACGAATGCTCTGTTTGTGAATCACAAGGTTTAACGACCTGCGTTACAACACTACTTGGGAATGGTATCTAATCTGATTTTCAGCTAAGCTTTTCTCTTGCTGATTTAACTTTACAGTTCCTCGTGCAGCAGCTCTGATGACCTGCAAGAATAGGGTTTCATTTTTTTTTGCTGTGTATTTCTCAAATGTTTTTCCCAATCTGTTATCATTAGCAAAATGTTTCTTTATTTTCCAGTGTTGAATCAGATTTGTTGTCATGGCCAACAGCGCACATCTTAATAAATTGTAATTTTAAAAAAAATATGTTCTGGGATAATTGTTAGCAAAACCAACCCAACCCAACCCAACCCCTGAGGTTTCAATTCAAACTTTGTTTTTGAGATTCTTTCTTTCTTTCTAGTACTTCAGGGTTTTTTTTCATAACAATCATATATGATAAAATATTCCAGCCCTTTTTTGTTGTATGATTTACCTATTTTTGTGATTATTAATAGCTATTTATTTCTTTTTATGATC